GGGACAACACTTATTCAACAGTGCAAACAAACTAGAACACCAAGAGTGCAGGCAAAAATCAGACAGATCAGACAGACAAAAAAAATCTAAGACGAAAAAAAGAAGCTGGGATGTCACAATAAGACAGCAATGTCTTTATGTAATCAAAATTATACCAAATATATAAGTCCAAGAGTAAGAGGTGTCAGTCCTACTGTACATCATCTAAATACATAGTGGCTTTTGGATATCTGATGATTACAATATTTTGTATGTTATGTTGTTATGCTTATGTCATATGTTTCCTTCATACATGGTAAATGTCGTGATTATTTCTTATACGTTTATATGCTACACGTCCCGCTTCTTTTTAGGGCATCTCCATCAGGAGCTAACAATTGGTGTCTGCAGTGTAAAGTACAACCACTGCACCCCGAATCCCCAGAATTAGCAAAAAGAAAACAGGGAAATCTGGAGAACAGATTTAGTACATTCAGGAAATATAGCTATCGGCACTCTAGTTTCCATAGAGATTAATAGGATTAAGTTATTACCTAAAAAAAATCATTTTCTTGCCTTAACATTCTTCCTCACTTTTGATACATTAGATTTATACAGATATATATAACAAAGTGATGAGCGGAGCGTTGGCGACGTGGGGAGACTGAGAAGTTATACTTTATTTTCATTATATTACATGTGTTTTGACAGTAAAACAGTGAGAGAATACAAAATTGCGCTTCCATTTTTTATTTCCCACTGCCAGGATGATGACCTAATGTTTCCATATTCGTAGAAACCTAACAATAAAATCTTCTAACACATTTTTATAGAATGCATCCCCGTGTTCTTCTTCCTGGCCATTAGCAAACATTAGCAAAATCTGCTACCCAAACTCTTCATTTGGACGGCATCTCCGCGCGCCAGTTCATCACCCGTTCAGAGGAATACATAGCTGTTTCATTGGGGGGGGCTGGATCTTGGCGATCACTGTGGCTGCTGTCACCGCACAGGCGTGAATGCCATCTATGCACGACAAGTCGTCCCCTAGTGCTCTAATGAAGAAAGCATGAGACAGATAGCAGAAGTCCATCATTCCTGTGACAAGCCTCCTTACCCCAGTGGGTACCAGCACAGAGAACATGTCTGCTTTCAACAGCGTACATTTGTACGAATTTCTTCTGTATATTGTAAGCAATTATTTATTTATCTATTGTAAAAGGCTCATGGGTTGCCTCAGAAATATATGTATGAATATTTTTAGATGTTGTAGCAGTAAAAAAAATCGTCCGCCCCCCCCCCCTACCTGCCCCCTTCCAATGCACCTCTGAGGTATTTTTAATTCTCATATCAATGTAAAATGAAGGTCACTTATTTTGGTTCTTTGTAAGCATAACAATTATATTAAATCATTCTGTATTGCTGAGATTTCTGAGCTTGAGATCAAAAAAGCCAATAACTTAATCAATGCATAAATGTAAGTGATAATTATTGATCTCAAGAAATTTTCTCTCACACTTTCAATCAGTTGCATTCTTTAACAAAACTTAGCACGCAATAATATTCATTTATGTCATAGGAATGAAATAAATCATAGGAACAAATAAATCATATTGACTCTGTACACCATATAAAAAATGCAGAAATTAATAAATAAATGTGCAGAGAGCAACAAAAGTCTGTGGGAAGTTTCATCATCAGCTCTTATCCTTGGCTGTTTTTTCCGCAATAGGATCCATCTGGGACTGTCCCCAAGCCTTCATTGTAGAGATGATCTGACAAAACCCCAGCTAATACAGAGGTAGAAGAATAGAGAGCAGACAGATTGGGAGGAAGAGAGGAAGAGAAAATAAGCCAAATGTCCAAAGCCACACCTGCTGCCTAAGAGATTGCCCCTTTGCTATCTTAGTGATGACTTTTTGGTGACTTAATTGTCCAGTTTTGGGCCAGGTTGGAAGCCTGATTTTCTGAAGACATCTTTCCGTAAGTGATCCGTTGCAAGGCCTACTCAAAGTGAATTACATTTCGAGAGTATTTGCTGGACACAAATTACCCTCATTTTCAAAATAATCTCTTGACATGCTAAGGTGACGGGTATTTCCAGGTTGCCCCATGGTCCCAGTGGACCAAAGGCTATGGAATTATGACAAAATGGCACAATATATGTCCATCAATGGTCAGTGACAGAATTTTTTAGGGATAGTTCCTTCCATGCAGTATTTATAGCAAATGCACGAAATGCCCTGAGAAATAACAAAGAATACTTCAACAGTTATCCAAGAGCTTCACTCAAAATGCATCAGGCAAAATGGTCATGTGACCAAACTCTAATAGGTCATTGTGGATATTAAAGCTTAATAAAATCTCTCACTGAAGCAAACCACTAAACCACCACACCACCCCCGCCACTACTAATTCATAGCCAATGCAAAAGACTGAAAGAATGTCATATAAGTGAAAATAATAGTCACCTCTTCATGTCTGTATGGATCCACTTTTGCTTCTGGCATCTGATGTTCATCGCACGTCAAAATTAGATGCACTATAGCAGTCTATCTATATACACGGTTCATATAATCTTTTCTGTTTCTGAATAAAAATATAAATACAATCTACTCTTTATTAATTCACTCTTGAACTTAAAATGACAAATAATATACTCCAGCTAATGTCCTCATCGAATGTAATTTAAAATGTTTGAAAATTTGAATAAATAGATTAAAATATAAACAAAGATCTTTTATAACTTTACTTATTTAAAAAGTATTTAAATCGGCCTATAAAACAATAAATGATAAAGTTAATACTGCCCCGATTACTTTTGTTTAAATAAGTACTGATAAGTCTTTCAAAGCATTGCAACTCACTTACCATGAATGGCCAAAATTTATATTATTATTGTTTGTATATTTATATATAACATAGAGGACAGCCGTTTAACAGATAGTGTCTGTCTTTTCAAGGTGACACAATGGAGATCCTTGAGGGCTTTCATTCAATTCTATTTGGATTGAAATTATGATGAAGTACTTTTTTTCTGAAATTGCTCGTGTCACTTGTGGTATCTTCCTGCAAATTTCTCAAGTGTATTTTGTTCCTCACTAGGACAGCCCCAGACACCTTGCCAATGTTATTTTTACTGGCTTGGAAGCTCATATGATTTATAATTCTTTGTCACGCTTTTCTCAAAGAAAAATGGAAAAAAGAGAAAAAAATGTTAAACATGTTTAATAGAGAATTCAGCAAGGCCCACCATGACAAGCAATGACCTTAGACAATTCAGTTATTCCCTACGCAGAGGTAAATGCACAGATGACAAAGTGGTTTGTGCTGACTCTGATATTATAATCTGATTATGAAATGGAACGTTAAGAATTTAGGGTGCCGTGATGGTTCTGTGGGTAGCACAGTAGATTCACACCTCCAGGGCTGGGATTTGGGAACCTGACCCCCCAATCCATGTGAGTGGGGGTCTGCATGTTTCCGCTCTTTGTCCTTGTACATCCACAGTATATAAACGTGCAGCTAGGTGAGCTGGTGGCTCTGTATCGCACACAAGGTGCCCTGTAATGGACCAGGCATCCCAACCAGTGTCTCCGCTGCCTCCTTGTACTCCAGGTTCTATTTAAGGTTTTTAGCTGGCCTCTGCTACTGTCTGTTCTGGTGAATATTCATTTGCACGTGGTGCATATTCATTGCATTGCATCGTGCACATGTATATTGTACAAAAAAGCAGATCAAATGTCTGCCTTAATAATCACGCGTTTTTGCACATGCAACGAGCTCTGACAGTGTAACTAAACAAACTACTCACCACCCATTCCCACATATAAGTACAGCTTAGTTTCATAATTATTTTTGCACGTACGGCCGGCATTCCATCTCATAAAATGGAAAAAAACAAGACAACCTAATATGAAACTGAAGGAGCAACAGTTATAAAAAGCAGTTCTGAGCCGGCTGCACTAATTTGCTATAAAAATAATTGGTATGCAGGTTATGGATAATATGGTACATCTTTCCTTGTCCTGTTATGCACACACCTGCCAGTTACTGGTGAAAAAGAGCCCATGAATGTACTGGCTGGAAGCAAAGGGCTATGCATCAGAGACCAAGTGTCCCACTTTCTTTGCACTAAGAACTTAGCTGATTATATTTGGCCTAATATTTCCCTGCTCCATTCAATACCAGGGCACAGTTGTGTACAAAAGTGCTTCTCCTCCAAACATTTATTTTCCCATTGTTTCGTCTCATTCTATTTCAGGATGATATGAATTGGTTTCGGAGGAAAATAACACAGAAGTTACATGGGTCATCTGTTGAAATCTATGCCACCCAAAGTTTAAGGTTCCAAGAAAGGTTTGAGATTCTGGGATTTAATGGGAGGGAGATGGCCCTCTGAATCCAGCTTGTTCTGCAGCTACTAGAGATACAGTTTGCTCCTTGATCTTATGTTTTCAGCACCTCAGACCTTTCATTGGTATCAGCTGTATGCAAGTTTGATGTTAATAGAAATAGTCTAGCAGTAATATGAGATGTTTAAATGCATGTACTCCTCACTATAATGACCTTTTTACCGTTGCACCTGAGGCTAGCACTGGTCTCTGCATCCATCCATCCATCCATCCATCCAATCATTTTCAATAACCACTTGGTGTCAGGGAGCCTGGATCTTCGTTCAGGAAGCAGGGAACACATGCATTGAATAATCTGGACAGGATTCCCATTTTCTCTGTATATAAACACTTTTCATTCATTCATTTTATTTGCATTTTACTGATGTATAGTAACATAAAATGATATAGTAAATACCACTAAGCATTCCTGCTGGTGACACTGTAACACTCTATTTATATTGCAGTAAAAATACCATTCATAACACAAAAATCCCTCAGATTCTATTTCTAAGTTTGCCATTTGTTTACTGTGTTTGTTTGCCAAGTGTTTGGTTACAGTGTAGCCACTGATATTAGATTCCTGCCATATTTATGCAAATTTTTTGTACTTTGGCAAATTTACAGGTAGAAGGCGAAGTGTCATCATGGAAGAAACTAGACTACAGCATCTTTGAGTGGATAAAATTCCAGATGACAGGACACAAAGCCCTGTCATTACTGGAGACAACTGTCATAGTTATCCTTTTTGCTACATCTATGGGAAGGGTGATGGAGATTCAAAGCTACAATTACATCTGGATTCAGAGCAAATAGACAGCGACACTCAGGCTTTCAGCTTCGTGTTTGTTTTGGATGAAATACTTTATTTAAAAGGCTATCGGTGGCTTCGATTAGGGGAGTGGCACCGTGGTGCAGTGCTTGGCGCTGTTGCCTCTCACGTCTGGCACCAGCATGTCACTCCCCAGCCCGGTTCCATGTGTGTGGGGCTTGCATGTTCTCCACCGTGGTGTCATGGGGCTTCCTCTCCGTACTCTGGTTTCCCACCGCAGTCCAAAAATATGCTGAGGTTAGTTGGCGCTACCCATTGGCCGTGAGTGACTGGTGTGTCAGTGTGCCCTGCAATGGGTTGATGCCCCATCCTGGGTTGTTCCCTACCTTGTACCTATAGGGTCCAGACCCCACAACCCTGAATAGGATAAGCAGTTACAGAAAAAGGATGGATGGAACTTCATTGAATGGGTATGGTGCACAGGCTCAGTGGGTAGCAATGATGTCTCACACCTTCAGGGTTGGGGGGCTGTAATTGTAACTGTACCTTGTGGAATTTACATCTTTTTCTCATGTTTTCTTCAAGTACTCCAGTTTCCTCCCACAGTTCACCGACATGCAGCTAATTGGTATCTCTAAATTGCTGTATTATGTGTAAGTGTGTGTGCATGCGCCCTGCGATGAACTGGTATCCCATAACCCCTTGCAATCCTGCCCAGGATAAACAGTTGGAAGATGGATGGTGTAGTGCAGACATTACTTTGAATAAATAATCACACTCACACGCACACACACATACACACACACACACGCACATGTAGGGTATACATATTCTTATGGGGACCGCTCATTCATTTCAATGGGAAAA